GCTCATGTCCCGCAACTCGGAGCTCCGGCAGCTGAGGAGAAGGTGGTTTCACAGGTTCATCAGCGACCAGGAGCCCGTGCAAACAGTGGGATTTAAAGCGATGAAGCACGGTCCTGAACACAAAGGTAAGGCATGTGTCCCTGCCCTGTTTTCTAGCTGCACCTCCTCCTAGGACCGTCCCAGGCAGAGATAGGCGAGCACCACAAAGCATCCCTGCAAAAAAACGCCTTCCTTCTGGCTCATCGCCACGTTCAAACCAGTTCTTAAGGGTATGCACAGGCCAAGGTACGATCCTGGCATCCCTGGTCATCCTGAGCTGTAACTTTCTCCAAAAAAGTATTGATATTGATTGAATGGAAGCCCAGACAGTGAAATACGCTTCCCTGATTTAAAATATTTTCTCGTCAAGCAGGCAGAGAGGAACACTAACTGATGTTCTTCCTCAGAACAGAGAATGCTTTTAAAAGTGGGGTTTTTTTAAATTAACTATCCAAACCCACACAATACCTTAAGTCTAGAAGCGCCTCCCTGCTGCTAAAGCTTTCTGGTACGTGCTACATTCTGTTGTTGCAAACAAGTTCAGTGCTCCGCGACTGCCTCTGCACACACGCAGGGACACTCCTGGCGTTCGGCGAGTTCACTGGCCACGTGCAGCAGCCCAGGGGGAGTGTGAGGGAAGTTCAGGGGAATTCAGACCACCACACAGGTGTGGTGCAGCAGCCGCCAGAGCACATGGTGCAAAACTGTTCTTTCTCCAGTATAAATGGAGGGCCATTTGGGTTTGACAGAAATGTGAGTTTGCTTTACCGTGAGCCTGATTCTGGCACCCTAAGTGCTGCTGATACATACGTGCAGGGACTGCTTTGGTTTGCTCAGGAGGAAGGCTTTTAAGAAACCTATTATCCAGAGCAAGCAGAGAAGTCTGTAGATGTTCACACTTCCTGCGTGGCTTTACAGCCTTACGACCCCGTCACACCCTGCCAAGAGCCACATCCTGCCAGGCGAGCGTGTGTCCCTGCAGCCACAGCGCGCCCCGGGGACGTGCCCGAGCCACTCGCCCTGCAGCGGGGAGCTGACTTGGGGGTCACCTCCCAAGGCTGAGCACCCCAGGAAGCAGACAAGCCCTCTTGGAAAGCATCAGGGTTCACAGTGACTGCCCGTGCTCTCGAGGCTGCAGCGTCAAGTGATGAGTTTGCTACCTTTGATCCATTGCCTTTTAGAAGAACTAGTTACTCTTGGAGATATTTCACTCATAATAAAAAAGAAATGGGATCCGGATGACTAGACACCACATTACTAAACTGCTCTTTAGTTTGTTGAATAAATTTGCCCAAAGAAAGGGGCACCTTCTGCAGAAAGCCCACAGAATGGGTGTCACCTCGCGACTCCTATTGAGCGAATTGTCAGAACCGGGAACGAGAAGGCGCTAGCGCAGGAGTGAGTGGGATGAGTCACGCCACGTGCGTCAGGCAAACTGTACCCACCGGAGCTGCCTGACTTCAGCACCAAGCTGGAGCTTCCAAGAGTGCTCCACAGGCCCTCCGTAACATCCCGCAGAGAGCCGGGTTTGGTGGCAGAGGAGAGAGGCTGCGAAGCGCACAGTTCTCCCAGAGAACCCCACTGCATTTTGTGACTTGTCCTGAGCACAGCCCGGCTGCTCAGCGCTTCACCACAGCCCCCACACTAGCACGAAACACCGGGCTGGGGCTGCTCCATCCCCAGCATCCATGCCTGGTGCAGGGGAGCAGAGCCTTTGGAAATAATCAACTAAAAATCTAACCACCCCCACCCCACTTCTCCTAGTAAACTTAGAGGCTTGTTATTTCATTATGGATCCCTTCCATGACATGACAAACTCCTCCATGGCCAAGCTGCTTGTTAAAGTCCCAGCGTCGCCCTGTGGCTCCCACACCGCAGAGCAGCACGCTGCCTGGCCACGGAGCCTGTTTGTGCTTTCCTCATCAGAGCTGTCCCAGCCTTGCCCCTGCTTCCCAAAGCAGAAGGGCCACCCTGCTTCCCTGGGCAGACCCTCAACCTGAGACAGAAACGATGGCACCTGCCCCAGCTGACGGCGCACACCTGCCGGCCGGCTTTGCCTTGCTGTGTCCACCCAGCGTCATGCAGCCTGGGGGGAGAAAATTCAAGTCCTTTTTGGTTTTTCTCCACATCAAGCTATCCTGCCTGCTTAGATCGCAAGTCACTCAGGGTAGGGACCACATCTTATCCTGCCAGGGAGACTGGCAAATACCATTAGTGCAACAAATTTGATAAGTAAAAACTGAAACTTTTCTGTTACAGACGCCTGTAGCAGGTGAGGCGTTCCACAGCGCTTCTCCTTGCCTGGAAGCCACTGCACAGGGTGCAGAGGTGACAGGGACTGGATCACTGATGTGATGTTATAGAATCATAGAACCATTAAAGCTTGAAAAGACCTCTAAGATCATCTCGTCCAGCCATCTACCCAACACCACCATGGCCACTAAGTCACGTCCCCAAGGGCCACATCTACATGTTTTTTGAACACTTCCAGCGTTGGCGACTCCATCAGTTCCCGGGCAGCCTGTGCCATTGCCTCACCACTCTTTCAGTAAATAGAATTTTCCCAATATCTAATCTAAGACTCTAAGGCCGTGGAGTCTCTCGTGAGTCACTGACAGGAGGACGTGAGTGGAGATCGCTGCCGGGCTGGTGGCAGGGGCGCGGGAGGAGGAGGAGGAGGGTGGCACTGCCTGTGCCCCCTGATCCAGGCGCGCTGGCACTGCACGCTGAGCCTGCTGCTGCTGCTTTGAATCACGGTACCCAAACCAGAAGTCTCCAGTAAAACGTGATCCATCCTTATTGCGGGTGTGTGACCCTCGTCTCATTAGCAGGGTGCTGTGGGTGTATATTCACAGCTTGTGAGTTTTCTAATTGCATGTTTGCAAATTACCATCATGCAGGTCTTTGAATCTGCTGTTCTGTTTGTAATATTTAAATGTTTGATTTATTATTCCTAGCTCCAAAAACTCTATTACAGTGGCCTGAGCTTTCTTTTTCTTGTGGATTATTTTATTGTTAATACAATACTTTTTAGTGTCATTTTTATCTTACATTCTCTTCCTGTCCACAGCTCATGTTATTTAATTTCCCTGTGTTACCATCTGAATACTGCTACTTCTAAAATCAAATTTCCTTTTTTTTCCTTCATATTTTAGTGATAAAATACACACAGAACTGTTTACACACAATTGCTGCATAATAGTGGGCCTCCACATCATCCTTCCAATCATATATTTAAAAAGGGGCAGAATTTTTGTTCATGACAACAAAAAAGACCCTTAATGTAGGATACAGTCTAAGAGAAATATTTATCTTTCATATGCTAAGTAACGCAAGACATATTTTAAAAGATCCATCTGCACCAGAGGGAAAGATGGTTCAACGCGATAGCTGGGCAGTGCCTCCTAGTTAAGACTGGAGTTATCTTTCCATTACAGCTTTAATATAACTCTGGGTACCCAAAGAAAATCAATTTTCTTAATATTTCTCTTGCACCACCTTATCAACTGGAGATTTTCAAGAAAACTTGGGAGAAATCTCACAAGATTTCTCAAAGCCCATGTCGTTCTGAAGACTACCTTCTCCATTACTTTAGAGATTTGTCACCGAAGGGACTTGAGCCGGTGGCAGCTGCCTGTGGGAACCAGGGCAGTCACAGAGCGGGGTCTGCAGAGCCCGCCTGCTGACAGCTTGGCTGAGGGAGAGACACGATTTCCCGTCCACTGCTTCTGCGGGATGTTTGAGCTTTCCCCTCCAGTAGCACCTGCTGAGGGTCGGAGCAGCAGCCAGGTCCTAGGAGCAGGCAAGACCCCAGGCAGGCTCCGACCTGTCGAGCCCACCCTGCCTGCGCCCTTCGGTGCTGCACCGGCACCACATGGTTCCTCCCTCTCCCCGTCCCCATCCCTGCACCTTGCCTAACTCTGGTCTCGCACGCACACAGGCACCTACGTGGGATGCTTCAGCGACGAGTCGAGGGAGCGGACGCTGAAGGGAGCCGTGTTTTACGACTTAAGGAAAATGACAGTAGCTCACTGTCAGGAAGCTTGTGCTGAGAGGTGAGCACTGCTCTTTCACTGCAAGTTTTCTCTTCTCTGACAATAAGTGGAACTGAGTTTGAAATGGGAAAAGCATGCATACATTAAACATATAGCATCTGTGAAAAACGTGATTATCTCTCACCTTCAGGCATGGTGTAGCTCTGCTATCTTGCTTAGAGCGGCCTATTTCACTGCTGCCTACTCAGTTTATTATAGCATGGCTACTTACAATGTATTTTCCATCGTCCTGGTCAAAAATTACCGCTTTGTATTTGTTAGATAGTGCTCTCTAGCCCAAATCTTTGATCTAAAATATTAAAAAAAACCTACAGACAAACTAGTATTCCCAGGAACAGCAGAGAGCAAGACAACTGGAGAAGTGGCTGCTGCTCCAACACCTGTATCAGGAGGCAAAGCCCACCTTGCCCTCCCAAGAACTA